ATGGATGTTGAGTGTTTCTGTCAAAACAGACTTTGGTGATTTGACAGCAACAACATGAAACACCTAAATTTTAAAGGGCATACTAGGATAAAAAACACTATCAATGTAATCCTATTGATAAAGGTCAAACCAGCAGGGAATCCCGGGAAGGTTAAAAAAATACGAGTGATGACATGATGAATGGAGAGCGGGGATTTCGTAGGGATGACAGCTGTGCATCATTGGGAAATGTCTTAGGATTGTAATTATGCTTCCAATTAGTGAGCAGGTGGAAGTTCAAGGACACTTAAAAAGAACCCATAGATGTCCTGTGACGGGACCGATTTTGATTGGATAGCTGCTCTGGATGAAATGTGGAAAAATGCACACACAAAAACAGTGATTTTTCTGTAACTTGTTGAAATCAGGCTGTCATACCTTGAGGTAGTCGTTTTCCGATCTCAAGTCCTCAATTTCCCGTTGCATGTCCTCCTCGGTTGCTTGCTTGGTGCTTGGCAGTTTGGATTGTGCGCTTGCGGAGGGTTTCTCCTGCTTGTGTTTCTCTCCGTGCGAGCCCGGAGCGAGCTGAGCCTGAGACTTGCTTCCCTTGGCGGCGGAAGCCTCGGTTGTGCGCGGCGGGGCAGCAGCTGTGGATCCGGTAGCTTCTGCTCCCAGCTGATCCCGGTCACTGGAGCCGGTACCAGACTCGGCGTCGCTACTAGCGGCTGGTGCCAGCCTCTGCTCATCCGACAGCGGCTCGGACGGGCAGTCTGACAGGTCTGAGCTGCTGTCGGTCTGGCTGACTCGGCCGAGAGGCGCTCCGGTCGGTACCCGGATCGGGGATCCATGGCTGAGAGGGCCCAGGGAACCGGAGGCTAGTTTTCCCTTCTTGCCTTTGGCGAGGATCGGACTGCTGGTGCAGTCCAGCTTGATGCTGCCGGGTTTGGGCTCAGCTGCGGCATGCTGTGGCACCTTGGTGGGCTTTTTCGCGACGGCAGACTTGGTGTTACTTTTTGCCGTGGCTGCTTTCTCCTTGGCTCCAGCTGGGGTGCGTCTGGAGCTGCGGTTCAGGTGGGCTAAGGGCACTGTGGCAGACTGCTGCTGCTTGCTTAGTTTGGGGGATTTAGGTACGATGGCAGGTGGTTTGGCGCCGCGGGTGTGCACGTCTTTCAGGAAAGGTCTGGCCGGTGAAGGCGCTCGGTTCAGTCGCTTCTTTTCCAACTGGTGGTTCTGCGGTTTGGTGTCGCTGCCAGAGCCATTGGAGCTCTCCATTATACACCGACACCGGCAGCAGAAGGCTGATGACGGAAACGATCAATCCACAGCGCCGCGGAAAATCTCTGACATGCGAAAGCAGAATAACAGCCAGGTTTCTCTACCTTCTTCTTCTCCGTCGTCGGGTTGGAGATGCGCATCCTGCGCTGCGCGTTTGTATGATTACTCCATCCTGAGCGTGTTCACCAGGGTGTCATTGTAGTCCCCTTTGGAGGAAACGCTGCAATAAACAGGGATTACTGGGACGGATGGGATGACAGACAGGTTGCATCTGCAGACAGGCTTGTAAGACTCAAGTTGGAAAGAAAGGATTAAGTCGGAGTCACACACGCCTCTTCTCCTCTTACACACTCCGGGTTTCCACTCCTCTTTTCCACCGGGCTCGGTATGTTAGACCCCAGTGTCTCTCACTCCTTCCAATCTGACATCAAAAATCTGCAATCGCTGCGGCGAGGCACGACGCCCGTGATTTTCTCCTGGGCGCATGCGCCGCTGCTGCTGCTTCACAAGCACCCAAGCACACCCCTTGTTTTCTCCGGGACCAGGCGGGACCAGGTCTGACACGCTCTGGTGCGCATGTCCTAATGGCACGCACACTATTGGCTATTGAACACCTTCACGCGAGGAGCAAAGATGACCAATAAGTCTCCACGTTTATAATCCTTAGTATTAAGTAAAACATCACTTTTTATACCATCTTGGACGACATTTGGAAGTTCCCAGACCCAAAATTGAACAGAACAGAGACAGTCAAATAAATCAAGACCATAATCTGGTAATAAATATAGACATCTTTAATTGTATTTCATTAGTTCAAGAATGCCACAAGTTATAAATACCATAAATCTGCTTTAAACATGCCAAAACCTCTCAAAAACAGGTTTAATACAAAGTACAGTCTTCCATCTTAAAAGATACATATTTCAAACAAAAGCACTTGTTTAATGTATATTTTAAACACTGAGTAGTAAAGTAAGGCTTGGGCTATTAAAACAGAGACCACAGGGTTAGTGCGAAATGCAAAAAGTCAAAGGAAGAGGGACAAATCAAATGTTTCCTTCCAAAAAACTCAAGAAATCCTCAGCTAACATTTCAAAACACAACCTTTAAAACCCCAAATTTTCTGATAATTTGTATTCAAAGGTTGTTTTGCTGGCTGATGGTCTTATTGCGAGATGTGCTTGGATGACGGAGACAGTGTCATTAGCAAAGGCATCGCATTTTCAACATCTCCGTTTTGGGATGAACGTTTTCATTTGTTAGAATACATAATGTGCCATTTTATTACCACAAAAGCTCGACTTTAACACAAAAATTCAATCTAAAAACAACAACAAAACAAGAAAATATTAACTAAAGTCCTTCCTTTTGAATCAGTTCATTTGAGCAGTTTTCCTCACCCTCAGACTCGAGCTTTTACTGCAACATCTAACGAAACACAAACACAGCGCTACACTTGAAGTCATATAGGAAACAAAGACGGAAGAATTAAAGTGGACCTATTATGCTTCTCCACATCTCAGTCGGTCACATTGTGGTGATGCTTGCTCAGAAATTGAACTGACTCAAAATTTTAAATCAGTGTATGTGCAATGAGTCAAGTTTGCTCTGAATATTCACTTTCAGACCGTTAAAAACAAAACAAAACAAAAAAACACGGTTTTTGAGATTTGAATGTGACCAGACCAATGAAGTGCAATATCTTGTTTTTGAGATATTACACAGAAACTTCACCCATCTGCCATTCAAGTGTTGTGAATGTGATGGGAAACCAATCAGAATATTTTTGGATTAAAGCAGGGGTGTCAAACATGAAGCCTGAGGCCCAGAAGTGGCCAGGCAAAGACTTCCATCCAGCCCAATGGACAGCTTTGGAACATCTTAAGGTTCCTATAAAAGTTTCTATGATTTGAATGAATAAAATATGTTTATTCTGTAATTTTACAAATTTATTTATTTATGCTGACAGATTTCATTCACTTACTGCAAAATGTCTTCATCGTGTAGAAACTCTGTGATGTACTGTTGACACTTGTTTTTCTTAGATTAAATGGGATTAAAGGTGTAGTTAAACATCTTCACACTGATTGAGAGAGGAGTTTTGCTGGTCAGGCACACTTCAAACCAATTTGGGCAGTATGTGGCCCACCATGTAAAATTAGTTTGACATCCCGGGCTCAAAGTGAGGGGTATGGGAGCTTAAACGACTTGTTTCAGACGATGGATTAACCGAGGGTCTTCACTGAAGCCCAGT